CTCCCATAAATGAGCAGCATTCATAAACATTGTGAAGAACATTTAGAAATTTGTTGGAAAATGCAAATTGAAAACAGGCAAGAACAGCTCAAATCGTAACCAGCAAATCTTGAAGTGAGAGGATTCTTTGGAAGAAAGAGGCACAAGGCAGAATTTGATACACAAATTCACTTCAAGGACAAAAAAAAAGTTATCGTTTAGCTAAATTAAGGAAGCATTGCTTTTTAAAAAAATCTCGTTCAGAAGGCAAATGAGCACAGTTATACTTCCGAGGCCAAGCATAGCTACAGCTTGGTACTAAACAATTGATTAAGTTCTGATTCATGGTATTTTTCTAATGTTTCAGTGGAAATAGTAATTTTTAATTTTTCGTTTTTCATATTTATTTTCCAAAAGAAATCGGTAAAAGAATCACCACAAAAAAACGGATTTGAAACAATTTTACTGCGCTGTCTTAAAGTACCATGAATTTCAAGCAATTTTTAAAAGAAAAATGTAACTGAAAAAATCTCGTCACTGAGATGCAGCAATATAACACAGAATCATATAATTTCTAGCAGATAAGCAGTAGACACACACACATACACACAGACACAACACATACACACAGCAAATAAGCACACACACACACACACACACACACATGGTGAAGGCAAACAAGGCATATAAAGCATGCAAAATGACAAAATACAATAGAAGAATCATCGAAAAAAAATTAATTTAACAATTAATAAACTGACTGAATTAAAAAAGACAGGTTTAATCTTATTAGTACATTTGAAAGACTGCTACTGTAACTACACTAAAATAACAATAATAGCTGTTTCAGGTGACTAGAAAATTCAAAAAAAAAAAGTTAAAAAAAGTGAAAAACCTGAGTGAATGAGGCAAAAAAAAAGATGTATCACCAAATTACTTGACCCTCATATTCTGGTAGTACACATGTTTTTTTCAACGTCTCGTAAATTAGCATCGTAGCAGTAGCATACATGCAACTGTTGATCATTCGTGGCAAAAGACCTTTTGTTACTATCCTATAGCTCTCATCAAACCACATTCTCCGCATTGTTTCCACGTAAGTCGCACGCTGAACCTAAAAAAAAAACTTCAGATTTTTTCAGAATTAAGCTTCTTTGTCCTATTTGGCACTTTCAGATGAGTTGAGTACTCTCCTCGTAGTTTAAGAGCGAGCAGCTTTCGGAATGAAGTTCTCAGGCCTCATGAGTTCTTAGGCCAAATGCTTTGTCAGTGCTTTCGTCGAAATTTTTTTATGAAACAAAATGAAAGGGTCACTAAAAGACCGGTCGCGGAAAATTTTCAGTTCTGGAACAGTTTGTAAAGTGTGGTGTTCGCCTGTTATTTCTTCGAGCTTACTGTGCTAATTTCCTGGTTTATTCGCCCGTTTAACGGCCACTAAACTGCAAGTGAATCGACGCAAAAATTGGCCATGCTATGAGTAAGTAATTCAAGAAAACACCCAGCTGCTAGTGAAACTGTTCTCACGCAATATCCAGCTATTATTGCAGATATGTCCGAGCATGTGAAGTTCCCCTTGTAAGTGCTGGGTTTACTGGCTAGGCGTTTCCTTGACAGGGCAATAATTCGGGGGTAATAGCACGGTCCACGCACCCCATGCGTCTTCTGGACCGCCTCCACAATTCCGCAACCCCGCACTGGATCGACAGTACTTTACAATACTGACACAGCAGCCTCACACAGGTTGCTTTCGCGCCATTATACGACCTACCTAGGAGGGAGTCATGATGCTACATAAATATACATTCGACTGTTACAGCCGGCGCTCCTGTATAAACCTGGCACTCACTCAAGTTCCAGTGATTTGTCTGAATTTAATAAATGAATAAATTGAAAAACCTGGACACGTAATCTCATTATTTCCAACGGATTAGTTAACGTTGTTGCAACAAGCGATGAGGTAGCAGCGGCAAATCCTTGATCCAGAAAAAGATATGGATGACTACCTTCTTCATATCCTGAAAAAAAAAACTTCAATTTTCATGCAGTACATAATTTCACAAACAGCTTATAGTAAATGAACAGAGAAAGCTTAGAAATAAAGTGATTATTGGAGATTACTGTAAATTTCCGTCCCAGATATGGGAGGGTACAAACTCTGGCAGCGGAATAGGTATTTAAAGGTAAGGTAGAAAATCAGGAAGAAAAAAAGAAGAGAACGAAGTGAAAAAAAAAGGAAGGGGAGTATTAAGATATTTGTAATTGGTAAGAAATGCTTCGGCCTATTAAGTCGTATATGTCGAGGAAGGAAAGCAACACAAACTCCAGCAGCTCCAATCATGCTGGGAAGATAGTGATATTTCCCCGGCTAAACTTGAACAGTACGAATTACTACAACTTCATTAGCAAGTGGAGTGACCAGTACCCTTCTCACTAGTACCTTGCTCCCTTCCTCTATTCTGTCCCAACCACTGCCTCCAGAGCAGCATTTAGGTGTTCACTGTCCATCTTGCGGTCAGCAAGCTACGCCAAAAAATGGCGTTAACAGGGTGGCTACCAAAACTCGGCTCGGCTAGCCCTCGGCTACACCTCGGCCGCCTCGGCCGCCTTGGCTCGCCTTGGCCGGCCCCTGGCAATGACACAAATTACCGGTTTGTCGTCAAGCGTAAAGTGGGGGAGCGGGACGGGGAGGTGGGGCGGGGGAGG